TGCACATGTCAAACCAGTTGTCATTAACCGTTTATTAGGATCTTAAAAAGGCCAGCTAGCTGGGGAAATTGTGAGTCATTACTGGAATATAATTTGTATAAAATGAATGATTTTAAACTTTTATACAGTAGTTCTCAGTGTCACAAGCAACATCGCTTGTGGCATCCTATTTGCAAGGAGAGACAATTTAAGATATAAATGAGAGGGGAGTGTTTTAAATTCCTTCAGAATGGATCAACATTAAAATGAAAGCCAAAAAAAAGGGAAAGATGTAGGTTCAGTTTCTGGATGATTATTGTTTGGCCTTGTATATGTATTTGCCCAAATCACTCCAAATCAGTGACCTTTCAAACAGCAGTGGCTATGCACCACCAAACGTCGTCTTCATACCAGCTCTCTCCTGCATCACAGTCACCAGTATGGGTCAGAGACTGGAGGAGCCAACGTATATCTTGAGATGCGGTGACAAAAATGCCATGGTTTAAAATATTCAGAATGAGCTTGATCTAGGGAAGGACTTGCTTATCTGTCCTGTACAGTCAAAACCTTTCCAGTTTGTATGAAGAGTAACCATTCTTAGCTATGATTTTGTGCTGTGTCTATGACAAGAGTGGGTAATTGTGAGTGGTCTTGACAGTCAGTGCTGTGCCACACCATGCCGTCATCGTACCTGTTGATGCCCAGCCCTCTCTAATCACATTGCTGCAGTAATCTGCATCAGCCTTTTCAGAAGGCCATTGAGAGTAGCTACAAAAAATCTGCAGAAAAAATAGTCCATTATATCCCTACTTAAACAGCCACATAGGGCAGCTCATCAACCTTTAGATTGCCATGGAAAAGAACTCCTGCTTATATATTGATAAACTTCTGGAGTGTGGGAGAAGAGAAAGCTAGAGCAGAAAACACATTCAGGGTTGGCTGAGCTTTAACAGTCCAGCATAACAGGCAAAAGTTATGCAGGAGCAGGATATCCCTCAATCAAAGCAGGATAGTCGGATGCTTTTCTGTTAGATGTTACACCAGTATTACTGAAAGCGAATGCTACATTTTACAACTCATACCATCAGTGTCCAAATCCTGCTATCTCCAAGGTATGGATAACATACAAGGTCCTTGAAAAAACTTCTGCGAATCAAATTCCTGAAGCAGTCTGAGTTCAGATCAGGACAAAAAGGCATGTTTCAAGTAGGCAGCCGTAGTGATGACTCACATCAGAGATTGCTTCCAACACAGTCTCAAAACAGCAACAAGCTTTATGGTTATGGCATGCTTTGGTGGAACACACTGCTTGTAATAGTGTCAAAAATAGTGCACTGTAAAATAATATTGTGTTTTGCTGACAGCTACATACACACCAAATACGCATTGACATGCACTAGTAACTCAACAACTAGTAACTCAACAGGAGAGTGGAGTCCTTCAGAGCTCTATCTTGGCATTATTACTTTTTAATATTTATATTAGCAGTATTCTGCTAATCCTTACAAAAGAGTCATGAGAAAGTTAAAGGACTGCTATAGGTTCTGCTGACTATAACTCAGTCTAGAAAACCTGTCTTATCTTTCTATCTGAAGAACCAACCTACAAAGAAGCTTTGAGTACCGCCTTCTACAGTCCCAAACTTAAAACACAAAGACTTTTTGAAATATGTTGAATTGTCCCTAGTCATACCATTACCTACTGCTTACGTCTCACTATCAGGATGAAGAGTAGAGCCATTATGTTTCAGGATAGTTGGGGAAAATATTCTTGAGCCATAGTGAAATCATCAAAAAGGGGCTGTGGTGATAAACAGTCAGAGCTCTCAGCTCCTTGGGTTTAAACAAGGTCGTTAAACCATTGCCAGAAATAGAGGAAAGCGTGGCTAAAATTCAAGATCTATTGACAGAAGCCATTTACATCTCCATTTCTGATGAGAGTTTCTGTCCTGGCACTCCAAAGACAACTCACAGAGTCTATATTTCTTTTATCTGCAGCCTCTTTTACTTGGGGCCTGCCTCATGCTATTCTTCGCCTAATCTGACATTGGTCAGATTAGCAGAGTGGTACTTATCACCCACGTTAGGCATAGAAGGGGAAGTTAGGGGAGCAAGGGTCTGAAAAACCACTTCAAACCCTGAACAGATATGCTTTTAGCACTGTGATTTGTGGAGCAGAATTTGAAATACAGCCTTACTGTTCCCAATATCAGTGGAAGAAACGCTTCTGCTTCTTTTAGACTATGTAAAATCTACGATGTAACCGCATTACCAGTAGCTTCTAATATAGCAATGAAAAAAGAGGGGAGAAAATGGGTCTCACTTAAAAAAAACAGGACTGAACTTTCTCTGTTCCCTGCAAATCCATGGATCTTGTCCTGTATATAACCGTTTGTGTGACTGCGTTCTACATGTTTTTAATGATATCCTTTCTTTTTAAGATAGTGTAAATTCTCCCTTGCATATTTTTATTCTTTTTAGAGTTTGTTAGCAATGAAGTCTGTCTTCAAGAATGGAGCAAATGGAATAACACAAAATTATCAGTTAAAATAATCAGGAATGTAAACAAAAGAAGAAGAATTAAAAAACCCTTTGGCAGTCTTCACCATAAAAAGAGTAATTTTGAATGGATTTTCGGGATCTGCATGGCATACTTTTACAATTCCAGTTGAACGCGTAGTGATCTGTGTTGCAAACATATATACCTACCTGCTCTGCGTTGTGACAGCACTCTCAGACCAATGTTTCACCACTAGACACCAGCTGTCTTTTGACGCCCATTAAACTTCAAGCGTTTATCTACATGCAAATATAAGAATTGACAGGTCAATGTGTTATCGAGCGTTCTTTAATACAGTTCTAGTCAGCCCCAGCCTGTTTGGGGCTGAATAACTGAGAATCTGAGGTCTAACTACATAGTGTCAAGAGGGGAGGACACTTCTAAAAAGTGTCCTTATCTGTGGTTGTGGAGGGTTGGAATTCTCCATTCATCTTGACCAAGGAAAGTAGTGCCATAACTTACAGAAAGGGTATTTGTTTACAGCAACAGGACAGATTTGGAGTTGATACAATGTTATTCTAACTGCCCAGCTGCCCATCACTAGTGGCACTGCAATATACCAAAATCCTTTTTATGTACTTGGCAGACTGCTTTATGTCGGATTTAAGAAGCAATAGGCATGTGGTGTTATACCTTATATCCGTTAATGAGTTTTAGTAGGTGCCCCACGTATACCTCACAAGTGAGACAGATTGCTTAGTCTGGCTTTACAGTTAAGCCATATTCAGGCATAGAAAACATGCAAGCCCCATTTTTTTGGACCCCATCCAGTTCAACAAGGACAATTTTTTATTGCCTAATCATAAAATTCTCACCAATACATAAATGACTTCTGCCCCATAGTCAATTAGAAAATGAAACTTTGAAACAAAGATGCTTTGTTTTCCTGAAGAGTCAATGGGACTTGGAGGCATTTGAAGTCCTTCCCATGGGACTAGGGTCCAGGATTCTTCCTCAAGGCATTTTCTACCTGGAAACATGTTGTAGGAACTGAAGCTAAGGTGACCTGTTCTTAGTTCCTTAGGCTTTTTCCCAGCCTTTCACGGATAGGCACTGGATTTCCCTTTTCTAGCCAGCCAGAAACTTCTGTGTCTTTGCCAAGTTTTGAGCTGGTCGGCTAGGTCCCTCAGAATCACCGGTGGTTTTTACCAGGCTTGGACAATTTGAAAACATCCCACTTTCATAGCATTTCTCTTATATAGACCAAGTTCTCGCACCCTTTTCATTGTCGTTAGTTTGGCACTCTTAGGGAAGGCTGAAGCTGAAGCGATAGTAGGCAGTTCTGTTTCTCTGGGCTATCACTTGGTGGATTGGGGGAGTAAAGAGTAGCCAAGTTTTCCCTTTATTTTCTTGTTACTTTGTTTTCCTATTACCTGTCATGTCCTTTGCAGTTATATTTTGTTTTATGCCTTGAGGTGTTTGGCTCTGTCCCTGTGTGTGTCTGCTATTACTAGGTCACTGAAGAACTGGTGCTTTTGCTAGAGTGGTCTCTTTCTATCCTTCCTAGGCATTGCAATCATTTATATTTTTGTACTTTCAGGCTATATTAGGAGGAATGATCACGTCCTGGGTACAGTGTGGACTGACTGGTTTGGGGATACAATTGTACAGAGGGGGGCACCTTTCCAGAATTGTCCGCTTACTAAATCCGTGTCCCAAATCCAGTTATACTTTTCAAATATGTGATGGAGTTTGGAGCATGTGTGCACTGGCAAATACATAATCTTTTATGTGTATATAATGAAGAAACACCTTTTGCAGTTACAGTTTGTGTTGCTGTCTGAAAAGTTTGTTCTGTAAAGTTAGTGTAGATACTAGTACCTTTTATAAGAAGATAACAGTAAATTCTGCCTAGGGGCTGTGGTGATCCGAAATAAATATGTATGTTTATATATATGTTTATATATTACCCTAAAATGTATTTTAAGGGAATTTGATATGCATCATATAGATACATGGGAAGCATAATCTTGTTAAATCAAAATGGTTTGCTGAACTTTGGCTTTTTGCATAATCTAATGTTTTCTTAAATCATCTCTCTGCACTGAAATTCCTTGGACTACCTTTGGATCTGTGGAGGGCTATGCAAATTAATGGTTGTGTAATGCGACTGGCAATCAGAAATCAAAGATCCTAAGAAGATTACGCTCTAACTGTAAACAGGATGATTAATGAAAAGTTGAAAAGATAAATTTGAACTTAAATTTTAAAAGCTAAATAAATTGAGGCATTGTGAAGTTCTTGAATGGTGAAGTAGTACCTTGAAACTGCGCTTCTTAAATCAAATATAATGCAATTTTTCCAAAACCTTCTTAAATGAATTCTTCCTAAATGAATTTTCTGCAGTGAAAATCTGCTGTGTAACTTTATGCTGAAGACAATTCAAAATTAAATGATACATTATGAATGTTATTCCCGAGTGAATTTGACATGCTTCTTTTTTGTCTTGCTGTTTTGCCTAGGTGTCATTTTTCCTGTTCATTATTTTTGTGGTATATACCATGCTGCCCTTCAACATGAGAGACGCTATAGTGGCCAGCGTCTTGACCTCTGCATCTCATACCATTGTGCTGAGCGTATGTCTATCAAGTACAGCTGCAGTAAAGGAGCACCTGGTCTGGCAGGTAGGTGCTTTGTGGAATTAATGATTCATTGCATGCTGAATGGTAATTGAGACCAGAAGTACCCCAAATGGTGCTCGGGAATATAAATTGGTCTGTGAGTCAAAAAAGCATTATTCCTCCAAATATCCTGAGGTCAGCTGGGTTGAAAATCTCTTGTAAGAGGCTGTCCTCTTAAAGTCTGCTGTAGGGACTCACTCCTACTCCTACTCCTACTCCTACTCCTACTCCTACTCCTACTCCTACTCCTACTCCTACTCCTACTCCTACTCCTACTCCTACTATGATTCATTGCATGCTGAATGGTAATTGAGACCAGAAGTACCCCAAATGGTGCTCGGGAATATAAATTGGTCTGTGAGTCAAAAAAGCATTATTCCTCCAAATATCCTGAGGTCAGCTGGGTTGAAAATCTCTTGTAAGAGGCTGTCCTCTTAAAGTCTGCTGTAGGGACTCACTCCTACTCCTACTCCTACTCCTACTCCTACTCCTACTCCTACTCCTACTCCTACTCCTACAATTGTCAGCCATATATATCGGAATTTCACAGCCTCCTCCTGGTTAGGCTGGCTGCTTGAGGGGAATTGGCTGGCTCCAGACTTTATGGCCTTTAGAGGAACCTGGCGGTGTTGGCAGACAGCTTTGGGCTTGCAATTCCTCTCTGACCCTTTTACTGCAGGACTTAGTGTGGATTAATACTTTTCAAAAATCCAAATATGAGGAGTTATTTTTCCTCGATGTTTTGCAGAAGATCCTTCAAATGGTGAAATACTACAGTATTTATTGTGATGTTGTGAGGGCCTTGGTGGTCATTGGTAGAAATCTGTATTTTTAAGTAAAAATGTAGATTTTACTTTGAAAAGCAAATGCAAGTTGTCTTCAGTATTGTGTTGTTTTAAAGAAACAGAATGCTCTTGCTTTTAGAAAATTCTTTTCATGTTTGCACCAAAGGGACACTGATACTAATCTATTTGATTCACTAATTATTTATTGAAAAATAAATATATTCATTTTTTGTAAATATGTCAGTAGAACAAGAAAGGAAGACATCATGCTATCTATTGTGAGTATAGTGAAGAGTGAAGACTTACCTTTTAAGCTGCTTGAGCCTTATTTTGAAAAATACCTCAAGGGGTAATGTCAAAATTGCAATGATTTCACAAAAACTGTACCTTCTAAATTGTAGTTGTGGAAGATGCATTTTATTTCCAAACATGGCTGCAGAACTGTGTTATCTGGAATATTGAAACTGAAGTCCTGTTAAAAAAAGATCTTCAAAGATGAAGTCCTTCGTAGAGTCAAATAAATGACTTTGCTTTTCTCCTGCTGATTTGGGTTTCTCGTGTCCCTGATGCTGCCGTTTCTAAGTTGCGCTGTATGTTAAGCAAAGGCCATGCTCATCTGCAGTCAATATGCTGTCTTAATAATACAGTGATGTGGCTATTGATTATTGTAGTTGAATGAATCAAGGAGAATTTTATTCTTGGTTTTATGTTGACCTATGATTTTTATTCTGGAAGTACAAGTGCTGTTAAAGCAGTATTAACGTTTGCCACTTCATCCCTAAAACCATGCCTTGGATGACAGTTGCTATTTGTAGAATTTATTTATTTATTTATTTTTCCTGCCTGTCTTTGTAGCCCATAAAATTTGGTACAACTAAGGCAGTACTTTCCAAAGATGTTATTTTTAGATATAGCATGCCTCTAGAATCAAAAGAAATAAACTATGGATTCAGTTAGTGTCTCTCATCTCTTCTGTGGCTTCCAGTTTCATTCAGAAAGCATGGAAGTTTTGAGCAGTTTTTAAATGTGGTAAGAGTATTTCCAGGATGCTATTGATTTTCTGTTCCCTCTTTGCAAAGTGTATTAAATGTTCTGAGGAGTTTGGCACTTACTGAAAGTACTGAGCGCACTCGGTTCATATGAGCACGTGGAAGGGACTAAGTGTTATTAGCATAATTCTTTGGGGTCTCTGTACACTTTTCGGTTACTATTGGTTATACTTCTGGGTGTAACTAGAAAAATGTTTGTCTTATATTCTTTATGTATGAAAACCATGACCACAGATGAGGGAGGATCGGATTAAAGATACGGGTTATACTGAAGAGAGAAATAACATGATGTCAGTAATATACCTTAAACTGGTATAGAATAAATGCATGTAATTAACCAAAAAACAAAAACAAAACAGAGCTGGGATGACTTGGCACAGCTCAGTCATTACAATCCAGAGATGTGGAATTGCCAGTAGCCTGAAATGTGAAAGCTTAGAGAAACTTTCAGGGCTAAGTTGAGTAAATCTGGGCTATGGAGTTACACTTGACTTTGACAAAAATATATTACTTTGATTTCAGGGCAAGCAGTTTGTCTCGGCAAACAGAAAATAAACAACACTGGTAGCAATTAATGGTGTATTTTCCTTCTGGCAAAGTTTTTTTTTTTCCTAGGTAACTCTAAGTAATATGTAAAAGAAATATGTGCTTAAGAAGCAGAAAGACAGTGGAATAACCAATCTGCCTGTGCGTAAAGATCAGATATTATAGCATATGCAGCTGTCTGAATTGCCATTTTGAATGACTTCAGTTGTCAGTGAAGAATATATCTAGCTAATTCATATATTCCAGTTAACTGGATGTTTGACAGCTGACTGCTAAGAATATCTCCTTTGGGGAAAATTACAAGCAATCTTACAATTACAGAAAAAGTCTACATTGGAAGGGACCTCCAGAAATCGTCTGGTCCAACCTTCCATTGAAAACAGAGCCTCAGATTAGGTTATCCAGGCCCTGTCAGTGGAGTCTTAAATATTCCCAGCAAGGGAGGTTCCACTCCTGGGCAACCTATTCCACTGTCTAATTTTCTCATGAAGAGAAGGATTTCCCCTGGAGCAACTTGTGCCTGTTGCCTCTTGTCCTGGTGTTCAGTGTGTCCTTCTAAAGAGAGTACTTCTATCTTCTTTGTAACTACTTTTTACATATTGGAAATTTGTGATTAGATTTCCTCTTCCTTTCTTTGTATGTCAGGTTCTCCTACCATCTCTAGTCATCTTGGTAGCCTTCTGCTGGACCCTCTCCAATTTTTCACTGGTTTGTGTCCCTTAGCATTTTGGAAGTCCATCATTCCTTCAGTCTATCAGTAGAGAAAAATCTATGTTCAGACGTGCATGCGTTTGAGATTAGGTAGACCCTTTCTTACTGCTTGTATCATTCCTTTACTGTCCTTTGAAAAAATTTACACTCAAAATTGGCTTCAGTAAAGCTGAAGGGCTTAACATGCTTTTGATTATTATTAATGGTGTCGCAGTCAGAGATATTGAGAAAAAAGCCTTCTGTTAAGATAAAGACTCCTTCATCATTCTTTCTTCTAGCTACACCATCTAATTCCTTTTTGAACTAGGCATGTCTTTCAGGAGAAAGAAATAAAAAAAAGCAGCCTTGATTTGAAAATTGGTAAAGATGAAGATTTTCCACAAGCCTTCATAATTTTTTTAATTGTTATCAG